CCGTAAATGGCCATCATCAGGTGTATACTCTCACGTAGCTGTTACACTGAAAGTAGTTTAAACATGTAGTGTAGAAGAAAAGAAGACAAAAGAACTACAATAAANGTTACTTCTTATAGAATGTTGAAGATCAGGATGTGCAAAACACTTTTGCTACTTGTTTTGTATGAATGTGAAACAAGGTCCACTGCTTTGAGGGATTATCATAAATTAGAAGGTCTAAAATTACATTCTGGAAAATGTTTACATCTTAAAAGGATTAAGAAGAAGACAAGAACTTAATGTAAGATTTGAGGCTTTCACGGCGGTGACTATGAAGAAAGCAGTCTTCTGGGATTTTGCACCGTGTATATTTCTTTTACAGATTTTGATACAGGAATTAAATCATTCATCTCTTGTAACTAGCCACCTGTATTGTCACTGTAGTATGCGCAACAACAAAATATTGTTAAAATGTAAGACAAAATTAAGTTCACACAATTATCAAACTCTCTTACACTGAAAATAATGAACTCTGGAATTGCGGATTTGAAGCTAAGAGACTCGGACAAAATCTTAAATGTATGAGTAAAATTTAGAAATAAATGTTGCTGGAATCTCCAAATGGTGATTTAAACTTGCAGTTTTAATTTTCTGATGGAAGGTTTCTGATGACAGTGTACAATAATTACTGAGGCAATTTCCAAATTCTTGTAGTTTGAAAAGTCTGGGGCAATGGACATATTCAAAGTAACAGTCAAAAAGACTTTTATAGAATATTTAGTGAGAGCTGAGCTATGTGAGAGGTGTAAAGTACTGCCTACCAGTACTGGTGGAGGTTACAAATATATAATTTTCTCTCTATTCACCAGAAGACATAAGCAGAAACTGACCTGCATCGAATATTGGGTGAATATTTAGAAAGCTTGAATTCCATTTAATTTCCTTTCATCTTCCTCTTCCTCACTGCTGCTATAACTGCTGGTATCACTGTCATCTTATACATCAATTATATGAAACAATGGTAATATCTATTATCATTAGATTTTAATGTGTAATAAATAAATGAATGTCACAATGAGTAAGAGATTAAAATTATGAAAATTTATAAAATATGTGTACACCAATAGCAGTTTAAAATAAATGTCACATGCAGAAATTGGCATACAGGTAATGAAATTGTGTAATGACTAGGACGGGATTTTAATGCAAATGCATATTTCTTGCTTTCAACCAGAAAGTATGCTCATTTGGATATATGTATGAATTACTTCATTTCTTAAATTTTGGACATTGTTTGATGGTGCATATAAATGCATATTTTGCCTATTTTATGAATAAGCATCATATTTTCGAAGAGCTCTATTTATACTGCATATTTCCCTTTTACAATGTTTATCATATATATTTTTGAATTTTATGTTCAAATTTTCAATCATGGTCATGTGTATACAATTTTTCTTTTTGGTATTAGAATATGTTGCATATTTTACTCAACATTTTGTCATGATTCATGTTTCTGATGCAGTACCCAGGACGGGACTTCCTCGATCCCTCTACTCGTAACTGGCCTCATCCACATACCATCAAAGTGGCCGCGAAGAGATTATTTGGGAGCGTTCACATGTAGCCGCTATCAATGTAATACTATTCAACCGACAAGGGACTTCACTTATTTATTTCCGAAGTCTCCCTGAGGTTCATTACGTTTCTTCATTTGAAGCTGGGGGCCATTCACATTAATGGTGACTAGTCTGTAGTTAAGTTTGTTTAGCTTTCTGTAGTCATGCCAAAGTGAAAGTAGGTCAGAAAACTAAATTACAGCTGTATCAGCGGGAGTTCGAAGGAGAGATGAAAAGTACGGATAACGAAATTATTGCCGAGCATGTGAGTAAACAGTTGGTTGTGAAAAACGCTTTCAAGTGCTTCAGCATTTGAACACTAATATACACAAAGAGAATATTAAAATTAAATATATTTAATATATATATATAATAAATATATATAAAGAACATT